GGAAAAAGGTCAAGCAAAATCGTTCCGAAAGAAGCTTTCTGAAGGACAAATGTGGCCATTTCATTTATTTGGTATAACATCTTATGGTCACTATCGTCCTTTCCTCTCCCTTTTCCGTATACAAGCGTGAACATGATGTCTGAAGTGTAGCTGAGGAAGGCCTCTGAAAAGTCATTCGTGGATAAGAACTCACGAAGAAGTCGCTTACTCTCGAAATCCTGGAGCTGACGATAGGCAATTGAAGCCCTTTCACTGAGGAGCGACGAGCCCAGTCGTCTATGAAGTCTCCACTGGGCACCATATGGCATGAAAGAAGATGCCAGTCCCTTGTGCAAGTATTTATCCAAGAACTTTGACGCGGGGCGCGAGCTGTATATACTTGCTCGCCGCTCCAGTAGATCTTGGGCTGCTCGACGACTCCCCAGGATGATGAATTGCTGGGCTCCAATCTTTGCGCTCACTATGGAGCCATACTTTTTATTCCACTTCTGAAATGTTTTGGCGATATCTTTCTCCGGAAAGGGCCCCGAAAGTAATGTTGGGCCTGGCGGAAGTGGAAGTTCAGCTGCATTCAAACCGATGAAGCGCCTGAGAGGGGTATAAAGGAATAAAAGTGGCGCTAACAGACAGAGACCGATGATCAGTTCCATATTCTATTCCGCGCTCTTCTCGAAAAGAGCAGAAAAGGAAACAGAGAAAAAGAAAAGCTCCGCAAGATGTAGAAAGGGATAACAACCACTCTCTGTCAAAATAGCTGCGAAGCACAAGATTTTCTGGCCAGCTGGTAAACGGAGCTGAGCCTTGTCGTTGTCCAACCATTTTCATGCACGTCCACGTCAAGCTGCATATAAGTCTGTGGGAGTTACATTTCCGGCGAAGGAGATAGGTGGATGGCCAATATGGCTATGACGAGTTGGTTAGGGAGCAGCACTTTAAACATCGCTAAAACCTGGTTCGACTCATTTTCTGGGCCAAAACACGGCATTTCGGTGAAGTCCCGAATCTGATCCTCGAATGAAGTTCATGATAAATGTATGAAGTTGAAATATGCCCATTTTCATTGGACAATCTGACTGAGACTGACATTCACATAAGGTTTGGGGCTGAGATGCGACGATTGCTCCTATAGCTTAACGGAGTCTTAGTTTGCTTTGGCGAGATCCTGAAGATAAGGTACCTTTCAATTGGAATCGCCATCAGAGCCGTTGGGATACGATTACGATGAGTTTGTTCAGAAGCGAAAGTTCTCCACTTTGAGGAATATCGAGTGTGCCAGATGGTTTGCATATTATTGCTTCATCGGGCTTAGCGGGCCTTTATTCATTTGGCCCGTGACTTTATCGGTAAATTAGGTTGGGACCGAGATTCAAGGTATCCATCACGTTGAATTCCTCGAAAATCTGGTGGAAAAGCTTTCCTGCTGAATTTTAACATGTGGTCTGATCATTATCTGAATGCAGGGATGTTTGAAATTGAATTACTCGATCATGAAAGTTGTTCCGTGGAGAGCCATTCAGGTTAAGACAGCAAGTAGAACAGATTAATTAAATCCGTCGCGATAACTAATAGAAAGGTAGAGAGAACCTAGTTTATAGTCAACATGAAACGACAGTTTTCTGCCTAGTGGTAGTATGATGCATGGGCCTCGGCCAACCCCGCCGTCATCCGTCGGCCTTCACAAGATGGCGGTTATTCGGTATGAATTTGCGAAAAAGGCTGTTTCACAAGGCATGGTGAGATTTAACGGTGTAGTGAGGAAGGTTTCAATTGGGATATTACAGGTCTGACTCAGATACACATATATAGAGGGAAGGAAAGAGAAAAAAAACACAGCCCTGTGGTGTCTACACTCTGGTACCTACTAGTAGTACTGTGTAGGCAAAACAATTTACTTAAAAGGCTTTGACCGAAGAGCCCCGTTGAGAAGGGGGTCAAAACCAAAAAACCATAAGTTTGGCCAAGAGTGGCTTAGTCCAGTGGGCATGAACACTGGGCCTTATACCTGTTCCGAACGGTGATCCGGTCTCCGATTCGACAATCAACGCATCCAAAACCTCCCCTTCCCCAGACACACATGGACCGGATCTTCAACGTGGCTCACTGTGCTTGCACTATTTTTACACTATCCGCCAGGGGTAAAAGAGGCTGGCTTGAACTCGAATCCACACGCTGTGAACATTGAATTTCCCTTTGTTTATCGGCGCTCTTTACCCTCCGAAGCACATCTGAACCCCCGATTGTTCCGCAATTGATTGTTGCCTTTCTTACACCATCACGTCCGCCACATCGCGTTGTTGGACTCTCACTCGGAGATGACCCTTCTATAATCCGGCTCCCATTACGCTCCTTACCATACCCCTTCTTACGCTCCTTATAATATTTTTAATAACACGAAGCCATCGCCGCCGCCGAATAGACCCAGCACCGAGCAGACACATTACCCGCCCCCTCCCTATCGGCCAAGCTTACGGCATGCCCACCAACCATGGAATCTCTTGTCTATGAAAACTCGCCTTTGGCGGATTATCTCCAAGGTGAGTTCTTTTTTCGTTTCAGGAGTTCATATAACCTCTAGTTTCTCGCGTCACAGAGGTCTGATGCGCAACAGGGGAGGGTGAGCACGACCCAAGCTGGCCCGTTAAGGAGACAGAGAATAGCGATATCGCCTCCGAATCGACAGCGGCGGACTTCGCTCCGCGAGGAGCGTCCAAATTCCAAGAGCGGATCCGGAATAAGCTCCCTAGACCACTAGACCTAAAGTCTTCGCATCAAAAAGCGGCTCTAGGCAGGCTTTACGACGCCTGTACGGTATGGGTTCCAATTACGCCGTTGCACTATCCATGATTACCATTAAGCTGATGAGGTCTACAGTCGGCCTTGAATTCGCGTGTTGGACGAAGTGATAATGAGAGGTTTTTGGAACAATTCGGTTATGTCATCGTCGCGTCGCAGTTGCTGAACGAGCATAGCGCCCCTTCTTATGCTTCGGCTGCAGATGTGCTGTCCAGTTCGCGTTCGACAGATCTCCCGTCAATCTCCTCAACTTTTGGGCTACAGGGCGCCGTTGTCACAGCTTCGACATCTTTCTCTATCGCTTGGTTGTTGCACTGGAGTCGTCCTCGAACGGGCTCAGGCCTTAACCCTCGGAAAGTCGGCGTACTATTAGTCTTAGTGCCCGTAATCGGTGTTCTGTTTTACGCCTTCGCAAAACGACAATGGCTCAAGTATTTGCGACATCAAGCTGTGGATGCGGCGGGATTTTTTATCGGCTATGCTCAGGGGTTTGATTCTGCTGCTGCCGCATCGGTCGTGTTCATACAGGAGGTCGAGCTAGTCTCCAGAGGTTACCGCATGTAAGCCAGCCTTCTCTTACTCCCCTTCGGGTAGCCAGAGGATCTCAGGAACTAAATCAATCATAGAAGCACGCCGTTGCCTCCAATTTCTAGACTCGAGGATCAAGCGCAAACACGGCGGTGCTTGAGGCTGCGTCGGACTGTGTCGGAATGCTTCTACGCCATGTTGAGACGGTATATACAGGCACAACACTCTTTGCAACCCGTCACAGACAACGACAACCTGGCCAAATACTATGACATCTACGATGTCTCGGCGGAAGAATTGGCGGAGGCTGAATCAGCACTCGCTGAGCGGGCGACTGAAGATCAATATTCCTTACGCGCTCTTCGCACCCTATTCGGACGGTTATATATCGTGAGAAAGAGCATACTCTGCTGCCTATTGGCTTTGGGTGCCGATGGAGGAGGTTCCGATATCGCGCGGTGGACCATCGCTATCGAGCAAATGCAGGACCTGGCCGAGGTAACCGGCAGATATACCGAGAAGATGACCAACATTCTTAATGAGGAAGACAGTGAGTACGAGAGCGAACCTGTCAGAGATCCCTCTAACCTATCTTCTAGGCAACCCAGCTCCTCGTTCTCCCCTACCCACGGCTTCTCCTAACAAGGAGCATCTCCGTGCGCAATATCGGAAGCTTAACTCTCTCTCACAGGCAATCCGTGCGCTTCACGCAAAAATGCACCTCATCAGAGAAATGTCTAGTGCCGGTCTGGAACAAACGGATGCTGATGAGAATGACGAGAATGAAGTGACTCTTGCTTCTCACTACGAATCAATTGGAACAGATATCAAAAACCTTCTCCAAGAATGGGAGGATGGTAAAGCCGCCATGATGAGTAACACGCCAGATAAACGACTGAATGTGGATCGCCTTTCGAGACCGTTAAGTGACTGGAAGCTGCCGTCGTCGCCCACTCCTAGCCTAGGTGGTACCACAGCGGTGGAAGGTAGTCCATCCGATGCGCTTAAAGCTTTGAATGGCGAAAGACCGGATTCCAGCATCATCCATACCATCGATGACGAGGAAGAAATTTTTGAAGCCGTTGCTCTCCCTGCCCGTAGCAAGAGACAATCCTTGACGAGAGAGGAGCGAATCGCTCGGGTCAAAGAAGACCGAGCAAAACAAGCAGCGGCACGTGAGCGCCTTGATGCGAACACCAACATGCTAAAGGAGCTTGAGATGGTTATCAAGCAACGACCAGCAGGAGCTTCGAAGCGGATTACCAGCATCTGATCTCTCACATACCCCCGCTTCCTCCTCCCTCTACCTTCTCTCTTCGCGTCTATTATACCTCCTTGTACCCCTACATACTCCTGAGTCCTGTTGTTTGGAGTGAACTGTGACAGCTGGTCAGCAGACCATGCAGGTTGATACCCAATGTAAATAGAGTGGACCGGTGTCAATGGCGTTTTCTGGGCTGGACCTTGATATTTCTTCTGGTGTATTTTACGCTTTGATTGTGTACTCTTTCGTTATTGCTGTACATGTTTTTCTTTCTTTTTTTTCCATGTTGTATTTCAGCTTGACGCGCTCTTTTGGCATGTTTCATTCTGTATTGTTACTCGCTAACGCTGGCCCACTGCCAGGTAATTTCCTATGTAAATTTGGGAAGCTTTGTATATAGTATATAATCATTCAAATGCAAGACATTCTTGAACAGCTAGTCGCAATGGGTAATTGCAATATCTTTCTAAGGGCATCATGGTGTGGGTATACTAGTGCTAGACCTAGATTATTGGGAGGTAGTTTGGCACCCTTACGTCAAATCCAGGCAGCAAAGGCTAACCCGAAATGTTCATATCAGCCTAAGGCATGACGCGCGACCCGTGAACGCGTTTCCCCACTACGCGACCTTGTAAATGGCAATTTCTCCTCTATTTGAGTTCTTAACTTCTCTCAGTCCACCTTCTACCTGTAAGTCACACAAGCATTTTGAATCTTCCATTGAACAAACAAACTGATATCACCAAATTCAATTCCAGAATCTATTTGACATTGAATTCCTTACCTAACTCTTTTGCCTGTCACCATCACATCCATATCACACACAGATCAAGAGTAAGTTATCCCACAATTTGTCACTTTCGCAGAATTGCTGTCTAACTGCTATCTCAGTGTTGGAAGCTCGCCTAGAACAAGCCTCTCTCCTCAAGCGTGTATGTGACTACAGTCTCCAGATAACCCTTGCTCTGTTACTGACCTAGCACTCGGTTGTTCAGGTTGTCGACGCTATCAAGGATCTGGTGCAGGATTGCAACTTTGACTGCAATGACTCTGGTATCGCCCTCCAGGCCATGGATAACTCCCATGTAGCCCTGGTTTCCATGCTCCTCAAGGCCGAAGGCTTCTCCCCATACCGCTGTGATCGCAACATTGCTCTCGGTATTAACTTGGTCTCCTTGACCAAGGTCCTGCGGGCTGCTCAGAACGAAGATATCCTTACTCTCAAGGCCGACGACTCACCGGACGCCGTTAACCTGATGTTCGAGAGCGCCGAGACCGACAGACTAAGCGAATATGATATCAAGTTGATGGACATTGACCAGGAGCACCTGGCAATCCCCGAGACTGAGTATGCCGCTACCGTGGAGATGCCTTCGGCAGAGTTCCAGCGGATCTGCAGAGACCTTAACGCGCTTTCCGAGTCTGGTTCGTGAACCTATTTCATTTCCTTCGCCCGATGCGTCCAGTCTTGGGACCTCTATTCCCGTGCAGTTACTGACTGGTATTTCAGTTGTCATTGAGGCCACCAAGGAAGGCGTCAAGTTCTCCTGCCAGGGTGACATTGGCAGTGGATCCGTCACCATCCGTCAACACACCAACGTTGAGAAGCCCGACCAGAACGTTACCATTGCTCTCTCCGAACCCGTTGCCCTTACTTTCTCCCTCAAGTACCTCGTCAACTTCTGCAAGGCCACCACTCTCTCCAGCACGGTGACCCTCTGCCTGTCCCAGGAGGTTCCCCTTCTTGTTGAGTACGGTCTGGGAAGTGGTCACCTGAGATTCTACCTCGCTCCCAAGGTAAACTTCCTATACTCACTATCTTTTGGAACAGAAGAGGATGCTAACGTAACTTAGATTGGTGACGAGGAGTAAACTAAACAAGAAAAAAAAATGCAAAACATACAATTTACGAAGGGGCAGGAAATGATTTCTTTGCGGGTTTCTTTTTACATTCGGAAATATCCCACGTTGACGGAACAAAGGATTTTGTTATCATAATATCCCAGTTAGATATGAAGCGATTGTTTTTTCTTTACATTTCCATTGGGTACTGGTGGCTTGAATAAAAGTACTTTTTCCTGATGAGCTTGGTACACAGCGGGGATACAAAGTAGACTACGCAGAGTTTGGAATATACGAGCAGTAGTATCTGCACTACGCAAGTGCACATCCCAAGATATATTTCATGTAGAGGCAATTCATTTCATTTAAGAGCTCTATACACCCCCTCAATCCTGCCATGCCACCCAACCACCAATACCTAGAAAAAAAAAAAAGAGGCAACAGGACCAAAAAGGACCCACCCCCGACAGATTAGCCAGGGACACACTACTCTTCCCAGTCTGACAATAACAACTCACCTAGAAGAAAAAGAAGCACCATCCCAACCAGAATGATCGGAATCGAATTCTACCATCCCCTCCTCCAAAGAAGAAGAGGGGTATAGCATGCTGCGTATTGCACTAAAGTGTCGCACGGGCATTGGCCCGCACACACAATCTTCGCAACGACTCTCCCATGGGGAAACCTCGAACAATGCCCGAGCCCCGATGTTTCTGATGCCGATTGCAGATGTGCGACCTCCTCTGACCGAAGTCAGAGGCTGTCTTGATTCACACCAGGCCCTTGCGGGCAGTACCGGCTCCCCATCTCTCGAGAGAGGTGGAGAGCGGGTTACTGGGTAAGGTGAAGATTCCTCCGAATTTCTCATTTGCGGGTGTTCTCGGGCCGTTGGGTCAACGGTCGAGAGATCAAGTTTGACCTTGATCGTGTGTAGCAAAGAAACGCAGCATTGGTTGGGATGGTGCTTGGGGAGAAAGAAAAAATGAAGATGGGGTTTTGTTTTTGTGGGTTTTATATGCGGTGGAGCGGGTGGTTACCGCTTGCTGGGTTGGGTTAGTGGGGTTTGTTTGCATCGATATTTACATCTATAACTACTTTCCAGGACTGTTCATCTTTTGAATTCTTATCGAAATACTTATATCTAATGCTTCGAGGTTCGAACAGATCTAATATCCATCATGTGCAAGCGATGACATTCTTTGTACACAGCATTGGTAGTCATACACCGGCAACAAACCCCAACAACAAATTGATCCTCCTTGAATAGAAATTGGTTTCTAATAGAAACCCAACGCTGCAGTTGCTTTTCAATATATAATGAAGTTTTGTCAACTATGACTCCAAGCATATACCGCGGGTAAGACGGAGATAGTGACGAACACCGTCAGCAACTCTGCGGAGTTTTCGACCACCAAATGTCCAAGTTGAGTCCGCGGGAAATAGAAGATGTTCATTAGCTTTGTGCCCTGGCTTGGTCAACTATAGGGAAAATGAACGGGGGTCAATTCAATATACCTGTTAATATACAGCCGTCACCAATGCAGGCGGGAAAGCTGGATATGGATACGAGTATACCATCACGAATGCACCAACGAGATTACTTCTTACCCGAAAAGAGACCCCGCATCGACGCCCCGCACCTGATAGACTGACAGGAATACGGTCAAGTGCTTTTCGTAAGCTATGTCGTGACTCATTGCCGGTATATAAATACTACGCCATCTCAAAAGCCCTGGGTAGTGTTCCCCCCCAACGCTATTACGGCAATTCCTCCAAACCCTCAAACGCAATGGCCGAAAATCCTACAAGTCTAGAAGCAGATGAACGGGCAGCATACCTGCTAGACGCCCAAAATAAAGCCATTCAGCTCTTTGATGAGATCGAGCGAGATCTCCTGCGCTCTGGCGTGGGTGAAAAGCAACTCAGCGACGAGATCTACGAGCTCGCCCAACGACACGGAGTGCGCACCCACTGGCACAAACGGGTCATTCGAAGTGGCCCCAACACGTTGAAACCCTTTGCCGAGAACCCTCCGGATCGCATCATCCAACCCGATGACATCCTGTATGTCGATCTAGGACCCGTTTTCGAAGCTTGGGAAGCGGACTTCGGGCGCACCTTCGTCCTTGGAGATGACCCGCATAAGAAACAGTTGCGTGATTCGCTGGAGCCCGTATGGAACACGGTCAAGTCGCGCTATCTTGAAAATCCAGATATGACCGGCGAAGAGCTATATGAGATTGCGTGTGTGGAGGCGAAGCAGTCCGGGTGGGATTTTGGCGCTGATATCGCTGGGCATATTGTTGGGTCTTTCCCGCATGAACGCATCCCGAAGGATAGGGTTACCCTTTATATTGCTCGCGGGAATAATCGGCCGATGACTTCTCCTGGTAAGGATGGGAAGAGGCATCATTGGATTTTGGAGATCCATCTTCATGATCGGGCTCGTGGGCATGGTGCTTTCATGGAGCAGCTTTTGACTGTGGGATGATGCGGGTTTTCTCGCTGGAGATTGGGCTTGTAGGATGATGAGATGATCAACTATTTCTAGATGTATTAATGACCCTACTTCTTGGATATAGTGTCTATAATACTGGAGTTTATGGAAGATATGGTCGGCCTCGAAGCGTTCCTCAACTGATCGTTTCGTTGCTTCCGGCTGACAAGTGGATAGAATATGCAACTGGCCTATAAGCGACGGAGCTCTTATATTATGTTGGAACTAGACCCATAAGTGATCAATCGGCCATTTTCGAGTACAATGGAGCTATAGGATCTCTCATCTACTGTGTACATGAAATGTCGACTGTTCTGTGGAGTAATTCCACGAGCGGTCTTGCCAAAGGCAATTGAGCTTGTATACAAAATCTCAACGAAACACAGCACTCTCAGCAGCTTCAACGCCGAAGCGTCTTCCTAATGATTCGAAACTGAGCCTGTCTACTACACTATTCCCATTGAGGAAAGAATCAGGTACTATCAACCTGTGAGGGACACCACCGTGCGGAGTTGAGGACTCCACAGCAATTACGCCGCGACTACAAGGTAGGATTGCCGAGAGGTTGACTCTCTGTTCATTTTCAATCCTCCTTTCTTTCCTTCCATGGCTTGATAGGCTTCCTGCGACTTTACTATTCCCATAGTCAATCATGGCACGGTTTTGGGGGCCAATTATATCAATATCGATGCTGGTAGCAGCTTTGCCAGCCTCGTCCCAGCAAGTTTCCATAATTCAGCCTGTTGGCGCCTCTGTCTGGACCAGTAGCGGCCTTATCGAGGGCCACACAGCTCCTCAGAGATCCAATGTCTCCGAATACCTGGGCATTCCCTACGCTACGCCGCCAACGGGGGATCTGCGATTCGCACGTCCAGTAGCACACCATTCCAATTCTACCGTTCGCGCGAGTACCTATGTAAGTGATGTATCAGTGGAATTGAAAGGAGCTGCTGTCCAGCTAACAAAACCATAGAGTCCGTATGTGAAGTTGAGTCCTCTAATCGAGTTGACCTGAGCAATAACATCTCATTACTACAGAGACTGTCCAGCTAATATCGGTACAACGCCCGATGATTACCCCGGTTTCAGCCCCCAGGCTCAAAGGATTATCCAAACATTTGCCCAGCAGTTGGGCACGCCTCAGAGTGAAGACTGCCTGTATCTGAATGTGTGGACTAGACCTGCAACATCGGCCTTGAAGCCTGTGCTCGTCTTTATCCACGGTGGTAGTAAGTGGATATCCCTTCCTTCTTGTTCTTCCATATGACTGACTCCTCCAGGGTTCTCCTTAGGTGGTGCACATAGCCCTTACTATGACGGTCAAATCTTGGCCGACGAGCAAGAGGTGGTGGTCGTAACGTTCAAGTCAGTTTTCCTTCTGAATATCACTATCTAGATCCATTGACTAACCATCGAAAGCTACCGATTAAACATATTTGGTTTCTCCGGCGCACCCGGGTTCCCCCAGAACGTAGCGTTACTCGATCAGCGTCTCGCAGTGGAATGGGTCCATCGCAACATCCAAGCATTCGGTGGAGACCCCAATCGCATCACAATCTTCGGACAATCCGCCGGTGGCGCCTCAGTCGACTACTACTCATACATCTGGACAGAGAAACCTCTCGTCAGCGGCCTCATCTCCCACTCAGGAACAGCACTAAGCTTCAAGCCCAACACTCCCGAGGAATCAGCCAGCTACTTCTACCACGTATCCCAAACCCTAGGCTGCGGAAACAGCACCACCAACACAAACCACATCATCCAATGCCTCCGCCAACAACCCTACAAATCGATCCTAAAA